GCAACCAACATTATGAATCTTTTATACCAACCTCGTTGACGTAAAGTAATTTATAAGAATAACTGCTTCAACTTGAGTGTTACATAACTATTTTCAATAAATTACCGAATGAAATTGAATTGTTACAAGCACATAATTTTGAATTACAATAGACAAAATGACTTGTGACACATTGCTTCTACGCTAATAAATAATACTTAGAATTTACAACTTCTGTTGTACGTTAATTTGAAACTATAGAGACCAAACATTGAAAGAATGTGTTACTTAAGTCCTGTATAATTACTGTATTCTGGGAAATAAACTTATATTCTATTCCATTCTAACATTTTCATCCTCAAGGAAAAGTTTATATACATAAAAACTATTACTCATAACAAAAGCAGATATGAGGCAACACATATGAAAGAAAAATCATAACTAACTTGAAACCTACTGGAAATAAAATTAAAGATTAATATTTGATAGAATCACAGTAGTCAATATAAATGACGTGGAACTTGAATAAACGCATTAGTATAAAGGATTCACATAAACCGATCGGCATAATTTACGATATCTATCGTTTAATATTTCTCAGGGACCAGTTCGGCTCAGTTGTTTAGCTGCCATTGACGCGTACGGAATCTGTTATAGTTTTGACATACATATAAGTGTACATGTTTATTTTAGTTATTTTTGAAGTTTGTGTGCTTTAATTGTCGTCAAAAATGACTTTCAGGTACGATTTTCCTTGTTTTTTTTTCAATTCATTTAACGTTTAAAGTCCAAAATTACACGCAAAATAGGCGCTTTGTCGTCGAGTTGCGGATACCAGCCCGTTGCACCAAGTACCAAGTACCAAAGTCCAAAGTTGTCACCTGCCTTTAAAGCTCAGTGTTGTGTTGTCTTTTATGTTGTGTTAGTTATTAAACGTAACAGCATCAATAAACAGTGAATCGTTTGAGATTTTTCGATTTTAATTTCGCAAAATTGTATACAGGGTTATTTTTAAAACACTAATAACCTCGCAGAATTATAGCTAACCTCTTAAGAAACAACTCATGTTCCACTTTTTCAAAACATAAATAAATTTACCAAAAATAAGCTTTTACGTTTTTGTTGTACTATTTGACACTTTTTAGATCTGTATTTGGTAGAGTAAGTAAGTGCTGCACAGAGTTATTATCATTTAGAGCGATCTATTTAAATCTGTTTACTTCTGTATGAACGTAAAATATGATGAATTATTAAAAGTCATGGAACAAAGGTTGTTGTTTATGTTTTTATTAAAATATTCCAGGGAGGTTGTCAGTATTTTAAAAATCACCCTCTATACGTGACTTTACATAAACTAATTAAGTAAGTCAATTGATCTAAGTCTAAATAATAATAATCATCTTCTTATCGTGTCGATACTTCATTTATTTTAGGATTATCAAATCAAATCAAAAATCATTTATTCTCAGACAACTACAGTCCATATTTTACAGTTATAATATTAGCTTAGATAATTAGAATAATTAAACAAATTAAATTAAATATCAAATAAATCGTCGACATGGTTTTAAATTTTATTATACTGACTTTGAATTGTATGTGGCCACCTTGACTGCGTTTTCCGTGACCACGTAGAGATCTTCCCTCGTACATACATATTAGGACACAAAGGGCACAATAGTAAGTGCTGCATGGACTGAGTTGGGGTACCGCAGTTGCCTTGGATTAGGCTATCATCCCTGAAACCCCATTTACACATTTTGTCTCTACAGCGACCTACCTGAGTAGGCCTTCCACACGGGCCACCGCAGATCACAACATTAATAATACACCTAGATGTATGCCCCAGACTTCGTATAAGACTCTACAATTTTTATATCGTAATATAAAATATCGTAATATCGAAATCTGCATTCCAAATGAAAAATGGAATTTAAAATATAAGGACAAAGGCAAGATCCGCTCTGTTTCATCCTTCCCGATACCTACGGCAAAGCATAAAAGACACGCTGCCAGCTTCTGTGTTTTCCGAAAGTTGCAATAAATAAATTGTTAGGGCTAATTATTAGAGCTATTCAAAGCTAGAGTACGTAGGCATATGCCAGAATAATGCTTAACTTCGACGGTCACATCATCGATTAATACTAGGTGACATTATTAACAAGCTTTCGTTTATTTTACACATCAAAAAAGACTGCAAATATAATTTGTATCTATTATAGTGTAAACAGACTATTAATAAAGACGCATAGAGCTAACATACATTAAAATCTGAAATAACATAGAAGTAAGATTAATAAATAAATGAAATTGGATTCTAGAGGCAGTTTCCAAAAAGCTGGCAGCATTCTGCAAAGCTATGCTAATAAGTTGGCAAGTAAGAAGCCTTTGAATTTTCCAATCGGTACATTATATTTTTTAAGGTCACTGAAATTCTCCAGTTATTGAATTTCAACAACTAATAAGTACTTAGCTAATCGGAGCCCAGGTCAAATGTATATACTCGTACATAATATTATGAAATAAAGTCCTTGTTAATGGGGATGAAAATACCCTTTACTAAAACAACATATTTATATACCTTTTCAATGTTATTCATAAAAGATTACTTTATTGAAAGATTTGCAAGCGTTTACTTTAAAAAAAACCTAGCTCAAACATTAACGGTAATAATTTCGATAGTCAACCACTCATAAGTACAGGGAAATTCCTAACTTATCCTTGATTTATCATGTCCTTGATGACTATACATTTGGTGCAAGAAAATTAAATCCCGACATAATATACCTTTACCAGGTTTTTTAACATTTATTTAACATAATTATTTGTATATCTACTTAAACTTTGAAATGTCAAAACATGTATTTTTTACTTCCATGTAGGTACGTCAAAGAACCGGTCAGTAGGAAAAATTTGTCGGTGTTTACCTTCGTTTTAATGAAATCTTTATTTTATTAATTGTCCACAACAATCCGTATGGTTGGCTTAAATACTTGTGTATATATCATAGTATGGTATATCTACATGGCGTAACTACACATGAAAATTGTGCTCTTACATAGGGCGCACTATAAGTTTCCGGAACTGACCACTTACATAAACAATATTTAAAAAGTAATTACAACATTTGAAAATGGAACTCTTTGGCTGTAGAATACAGTTTGTTTCATCTGACTATCACTTGTTTTTACATTGTGGCGTCATTTTAGAAATTGGTTGTCTACATCACCATGGCTTTAACGCGTGAAAATTTATGTTATTCGTAGTATGATTTTGTACGATTTAAGTGTATTGTAACAGCTCAGCGGAGCTTCGCTCGGCTTAAAACTGCTTTGGCGATGAAGCACCAAGCGAGACGACTATTTATAGCTGGTTTGCAGAATTCAAACACGGTCGTATGGATCTCAGTGACGAATTTCGTGATGGTCGCCCGTTCACTGCTGTGAACAACAAAAACAGACAGGCATGTGACATACCATGAGGTTCGGGCATCTTTATGCATACGCATGAGTCAAATACAATTAATACTACACAAACATTTGGGTGTGAAAAAGCTGTGCTCTCGGTGGATCCCACACAATTTGAATGATGCTCAAAAAACGGATCGCGTCACTTGGTGTAATGCCATGCTTACCAGATTCAACGAAGGGCCGTCAAATTTGGTGTGAGACATAGTAACAGGTGACGGAACATGGATTTATAATTACGATCCCAAAATAAAGCAGCAATCGAGCATATGGGTCTTGCGAGATGAGCCGAAACCTAGTTGGCGCGCGTGTAAAGTGCCTCTAAGCCGATAATTGCTTCCTTTTTTAATAAAATTGGACACGTGGCTACTGTTGCTTTGGAGAATCGTTGTACCGTGATTAGTGATTGCTACACGACCATACGTTTGCCGGAAGTTATTGACAAACTCCGTAAAAATAACCATAAACGCCGTATCATCTTGCACCACGATAATGCCAGTTCTCACACGGCCCGACAGACAAATGAATTTTTGAAGGTGAACAACGTTGACGCGGTCAACGATTTTCATCACCTGAAGAGACTGTCGAAGAGTATGAAAAATATGTTTCAGAGATTGTCACGGAGGAGTAGCATAAATGTTTTCAGATTTGGTTCATTCGTATAAAAATGCATTAACGCTAAAGGAGAATATTTTGAGAAACAATAAATTCATTTCTGACCATTTATAGTATTTTTGTCTTATTAATTCCGGAAACTTATGGTGCGCCTCACGTACTTATGTGCAGATTATGTATTTGTACAAAGACAAAAAAGAAAGAAACTGTAATATAAGCTTCTCATAAGCACCCACAGTTAATAATGAAGAAAGTTTGTATCATATGGTAAACAGCTTCTAAGCCATTCTAAATATACCTCAACAAATACAACAAAACGTACATAATACGTGAAGTGATGATCGCTTATCGTATTGCCCAGACAATATTCTTCCTGTGATCATGTAAACGCTCCGTATCCATTAGAATGATAATATCGCATTCAATTTAGCACAACAGAATTATTAGATAATAAGAAATAAATAAGTGACCAAAAATACTTTAAATATTCGGTTGCGTTTTTCAAACAAAATAGAGGGCATCTTGCTTGGACCTGAAACGTGCATTAATTATATACTTTGTACCTACATATTAATGTAATTGGGCGTTTAGCGCTTTTCCCATAATAGTTTGCTGGGTCTTAGGAGATTAAACCAATCAGTACCTATGAAATATTTTGGCGTACCTTATACTAAGGCAAAAACATTAGATACCAGCAAAAAGAACACTTGAAATGCCTTTTTTCAAACGTATGCGCTGCCTTGCGTTACATTGAACATTGTCAAGGCTTTACGCTTGGACATAAAAAATATGAATCGGTAATGTATAAGTGTGGCGGACTATGGCCTAAACCCTTGTCTAAAAGGAGACCCGTGCCCAGCAGTGGGACGTATAAATGGATTGACGATGATTGTATAGTTTGCTAGTTGTGGTGGTCTTTAAATTTCATTTTGTCTGCAGGTCGTTTGGGATACAGGACGGTCTTGTTATAGACCCACTGGCGCCCACGGCGCTGGCGGTGTCATCAGAGTTCATGGACCGAATTGGGAGCGGCCTTACTCTACTCAGGGATCACGGGAAGAAACTGCAAAAGGCATGTAATGGCGGCATAAGTCCTTATATATATATATATATATATATATATATTCAAATTCAAATTCAAATACTTTAATTCAGATTTCATCCATATTGGTTAGTATAACATATATATATATATGATACCAAGTAATGGGACGACTACGTCGTGCGCCTGGTGGTAAGCGACACTCTAAGTGGCACTGCAACTGCTATGGACAGGTCTATAGAAGTTGCAGTGCCACTTAGAGCTTTATAACGCACACACTCAACATAGCCCCGCACTAGGGAAACCCTGTGTCGCGGGTGCCATGGACACACACATAGACAACCACAAATTACACCCAAACTCACGAGAGAAATAAATGTAGGCCATACAAATATTTCTCCCGGCCCGGGAATCGAACCCGGGGACCTCTGCTTGGCAGTCCGGTATGGTAACCGTTCGGCCACGGAGGCAGTTAAAATAAAATTAAAAATAAATAATAAAATTTTTTTTATGATACTGGCACGGATAAGTGGGGAGCTTGGTAGAAGACCTACTGCTTAATATTGGGAAGGAGTCAGTTTGTAGGGTTAAATATGAACTAAGTTTTCAGGGTTACGCATCACCAAGTTTTTACTTGCCGTTGTGAAGTAGGTATTCAAGAATTTTCAACGTATTCAATATCCTAACTATATACATTTTTATTCAAACTACGACCTATAGGGGACCTATGTTGATTGTGGCATATTTGTGCCACAACATTAACTAACAATTATAGAATTACGGAGAACTTACGATATCTACATACAGCTCTAGATAATGTAACGTACGCAGGTACCTATGTTTTACTCAAACTCTTTTTTATATACGGGTATTTTGCTCGTTTAAAACAAAGTAATTTAAAAGAAAAAATTTCAAGAATCGTCTGTCATCATCGGTGAGAAAGGATTTTTTTGCGATCAACAGTGCAAGCATAATGTAATACCTACGTCTTACATAGTCCTTATTTTACCAGTCTATAGAGTCATCTGTAATTTCCACTGTTTATCTTCAACCTGTCTATTCACATAGGTTAATTTGCTATTCATACGCACGTTGGTTTACTCATTTTGCGGAATTATTATTTATAATGACTACTATAGTTACTCGGTAAAGGTATCTTTATCTCTGCGACTCTTCACACTTAAATAAAATATGTACTTGTCACATCTAGGAAATACACCAATTGATGTATGTATACACAAGTTGGTGAAATATCGAATGTAGGGGAGCGTGGGGGAACGGGAGTCAACTAAGGAATACGGATAATAAAACTCATAATTTATGCAATTTAAATTTTTATTACATATGAAATTACGATTCGCGTATCTGGGTAATAATCACTGGGTAGATAATCACATAAAAAATATGAAACTAAAATATAATATTTGGTTGAAAAGAGAAAACTGTAACATGTCATTCGCTCGCATTACCCTACAGAACGGGAAATGGGAGCCGGTAAGTATCTCGTATGTCAAATGGGAGCCATTATAATTGTAATCACTCTGAAAAAATATATAAAATGAATAATAAAATATATAACTTAAAAACTAATGAAAACAAGAAAGTGTTAAGGGTGTATGGAATATTCAAAAGATATTGCAACGGGGTAAGGAGAGCCAAATAGCTCTTATTACCCGCGTAACATCGAATTGAAAAAATAAAACAGTAAAAACATTTATATTTTTATTGTAATTGGAGGCATAACATCTGAAATTTGATGGATACGGAGACATGGCAAGTGTAAATACAATGTAGTAGGTATCTATGCATTGTAATGCTTACCTGGGATGATGAAATTTGGCAATTATTATAAGCGCGGCGCAAAAAATACACAACTATCTCGTACGACTAAACGCAGAGTGAACTTTATCGAACGTTAACGAAGACATAGGAGAAGCACCGTTTGCACAAATATAGTTATTGGGAAAGTCCAGTTTAACACAGCTCTCATTACCCACGGGCTCCCAATACCCCACGTACCCCTAATAATCATGGTTTATATCTCAACATAAAGAAACAGACCTTAGTATAAATGAAGACTAACAATATTAAATGTTGTAACCTTTGTGAGCGACTGAAGTCTATACTAGGCAACAAGATCTTAATCATAGCTTACTAAGCTCTAACCACGTCATTAATAAGTCATAAATAAAAACAACTGAACTGTTGGTGTTGAGTAGCAACAGGTTAATGTCATCAAGGATATAACCAAGTTATTGTTCAAACTAACAATATTAATCTAAAATAATGTGTGTGTGTGTGTGTGTGTGTGTGTGTGTGTGTGTGTGCATGTATGCGTGCTGGCGTGCAAAAGTAAATTTGTCAATCTCAGAGTGTTCAAACTTAGGGAACCAATAAATGTTCACTCTGGATTTTACTTGGTGCAACAAATCTCGTTAGTCATTCAGCGTGGTAATGCTGCCAGTCTTATTTTGGACGTTTTGGACGTTTGAGCCAGCTAAGATTCAGTGCGACCCTTTTTTATTCTTATAGTTATACAAAATATCTAAGTCTGGCGAATTGCATTAAATATAATTTAATTACAATAATATTTTCATTTCCAATTTCATTTTAACATATTTTTTCGGATTTTTTTTTTAAACAAACCAACATCTTGGGTTTTTTAGAAGTCCCATGGTCACGGTTGACCAGAGGCTGTTTGACCACAACCACCTACATAACGAGTTCTTAGTTTTTAAATAGAAAACCACCGTGAGACTCAGATATAGTAACTAAAATAACGGTTAACTCACGTATAAATCGAATTTTTGCTCGACATGTTTCGAACCAATCCGTGGTCCTTACTCATAAGATTCCGCGGCGATGACTCGAAGGAAACTGCGCGCCAAAGACCTGGTAGCCCGATCACTCAGTACGGATTTCTTAGGTTTTCGTGATTTCTGTAGCAAATGTGAATACATTGGAACTGATTTTTTCAAACCTAACTGGCATATATTTGTAATTACATTTTATTGAATGTCAGAATGTTTCACCACCATAACATTCAATTATTTTTTGTGAAATTACTCCACTAGTTTGTTGTAATTATTAAACAAATATCGAATATTTTAGAAAAAAATCACTTCGATCCGGCTGGATTCGAACCAACGTCTCCCAGCAAACCGTCCCAGTCGCTATGCCAACTAAGCCACAGAACGAACCAACGGACCTCACGAATTTTTGTTTGCAGATCTTTGTTTTGGTTTTTAACGCGCGTTTATTTGTTTTTTCAAACAAACCAACATTTAAAGCCATTTACAGGTGCCATGGTGCCATTTTTTTAGTTAACCCGCGGCATAAGGTGGGAAAACAAAATGTTTGCGGCGTTTGTTGATCATAAAATGCGGATTACTATCATATACTTAACATTGTTTTCATAATGATTAACTAATTTAATGGATACTTCAAATCACAATTTAATTCTTGTAGTTCCGGTTAATAATCCACTCCCTTAAACTGTGGACTTTGACCATGCTATTGAGTAATAGAACTTGAACTTAAGATTTAGATTGAACTCAATGTCAGTTCAATGTCAAGTTTGATAATAAGTGACATTGAATTGAATTTAAGTCTAATTCGTAAAAATTTTACGTTTTTTTAGTCAACAGCGTGTTCAGTCAACGATTTATATACTTCATTATCATTTACAAAATTGTTAACAATGAAAATCTTTGCTCTATGATTTTACTATTAACTGAAAGTAGCAAGTTTATCTAACGGTATTATTTGTTTTGCAGTTCGTGAGCAAGAGCACCGCATACGACGTGTTCAATAAATCATGGAAGTCGATAGTAAATGTGGTGTTAGTGGAAGCCAGGGATCTTCCCCATGGCCCCGCCTCTGCCCCCAATAGTCTATACTGCAAATTCAAGTAAGTTCTGTTTTCTACGATACCTAGTGACGGGAAGAACAAGTCGTAGTGGTAAGCGACACGGCTGTCCATAACAGTGGCAGTACCACTTAGAGCTTTAAATTGCAAAGGTCTGAGGAGCACTGCCACTGTCACCATCACACTGAGACATAAATTGACACGTCTTATTATATGTAACTTAACTAGCACCCTTCACCCTTCAAAACCGGAATGCAGTCATTCTCACATTATTGATTGGCGGCAGAAATAATTAAGGTGGCAGTACTTCCCTTTACTTTAGATGACTCTTTGACAAGAAATTTTTGCTGCTACTAAAAGTTGTAGGAACTCTTTTTTTCTCTTTTTTTTATGTTTAAACGACTTTATTGTCTCTATAATCCTATTTTGTATCCTTTTTCACTCAAAATCTAAATAACTAGTTAGGTGTTTCTCTACGGCTCAGTTTACCGAACAATGACACCTATGTTGAGATGAGATCCAGTTGCACAAAAGGAGCCACATATACTGTATGCCATTAACACGATAAAAAGACTGAAATGATTCACAATGACCCGAGTGATCGATTTCAACAAATTGTTACTGTAACTTTTAGTTATGGTCTAGCAATTGTGATCGAAATACTTTCTTTACTTTTACGCGTGTTACGTGTTGTTTTTAGTGCTAATGTTAACTCCTAAATAGATTATAGTTTCAAATGACTCAAAGGTTTCGATTCTTACGTCATATGTTTTCAAATTACATTTACAACCCACAGAAACCTCAAACTTAGTAATGAACGCAATGTTAAAGTAACTATACTGTTGACGTTCATTGAAATTGGTTTTTTTCCATGACTAGGTCATAAGCTTACTAATCTAGGAAAATGTTACTATCGATCGAATCGAAGGATTTTTTTCTAGGTGTTCGATCTTTGTATTAATAATGATCAAACTAGTGGAGTAATTTCACAAAAATTAATTGAATATCTTGGTAATGAAACATCCTGACATTCAATAAATTTAAGTTTTGTTATCGTCAAAGTTTTATGCAAATAATGAAAGAGATAATTTCTTTTTCATGTATATCCTATGAGAACGTATCAACTCTCTGTTTGTCATAATATTATAAAGCAACAACACTTTATATTTTACTTTTCTTGAATTTCATTTCATCAAATTTTTACTATCATGATATTCAATATATTTTATGTGAAAATATTCCACTACTTTGTAATTATTATTGATATGTGTATCATTACTGTGTATGTCGAATAAACACAAAGAAAACTTCCTTCAACCCGACTGGACTGGAATCAGCGACTGTTGCCTCAACGTGGCTATCGCTCTGCCATCAGAGCTACTACTCAGCTTTATCAACAATTCTTTATAGTTTAGCCTTAGTTTGGTGAAATTACAGGCATATGGGACTTGTCAATGGCAGTGCCCCTCAAATCTTTGCAATTTACAGCTCTGAGTGACACTGCAACTGCCATGGAGCGTGTCGCTTACCACCAGACACACAACTTGTTCGTCATATTACTTGGTAACATAAAAAATAAATCCATTGATTTATAACACTTTGTGCTGTGCAACAGTATACAAGGAAAGTCTACTGGATAGACAGCATGGGTGGGATGCTACCTTTGTGTACTCTGTGACCGCTGTCCATAAACACTACCAACCATTCACGTATTCTGGCAAGAATCTCCGTGAAGTTTTGCAACTTTATTTATGTACCTAAAATCGTCTTGTAATTTGCATACTATTATTTATACATATAATATAAGATTTCCTTTATTTAAATCCATTTATATGTTTAATAGTTAGATAAAAACAATTGTAAATTTTTATGAACACAGTAGACATTAATTATACTTGTTTTTCGTCAGACGAACGAATACCTCATTACATTAGATAAGGTCATATAAAGAAGCAACCGGCTATTTACCTACAACAAAATTATGTTGTATCTCCAAAGTGGAACGATTTGAGACGCGTTTGAGAGTTCAAAACTTGGATGGAATTGGTGTTTTTATTCAAAATAATGTATTTCAAAGTAATTACTATCGAATTTAAGAATGTCCTTCACAAAATATTATGTAATGCACAACTGAGCATTTTTTTAAGAATAGCATTATGATACTGATACGCAAAACCGAACCGCAAGTTGTCTACAACCAATGAAAAAAAGCAAATGCAGTTTCTCTCGTGACGTCAATAAAATACAAAAACAGCGGCCACGCTTCACTATACTTAAGGGTCATTTTAATTCGTCATACTTTTCGATTGGACGCGATATTTTTTTGTTTCGCTTACTTGTATAATGAGTTACTTTTGACACTTGGATGATAATTGGTTAAAATCTAGAAATTAAATCAAACTACTTAATGAAAAAAAATTATAAAAAATAGGTACTGTTTCTATAATGATTTAGGATTCACGTATGTTCCGTCTTTTTTGAAGACGGAGTAAACTAACAGTTCATTGTGCAAAATTGTTGCCCGCTTGCGAGCAGCTAGAGATTGCAGTCGATAAATATTCTATTGACTATTGACTGAATATTGATCACGCTTATGAAATAAATAGCCAAACTTGTTTCATTTGAATCATCCTCGACCCATTATTCATCCCATTATTGAACACAAGTTAATTTAAATTGTCAATTTTTGTAAGTTCATACATACATAACTGTATTTAGAACTATGTTTATGAAAAATACAAAGAGGAGACATATTTTAAAGCTTTTAATTTTTATTCAATGTACATAATCAAATCCGGCCATTCTTGTTATAATGTACCTACCTATATGAATAATTAATCTCGATACTTAGTAGACCAACTGTCAAAATAAAAATAAAGAAGGCAATAACGCAATTAGTAATCATTAGAACGTCGTAACATTCACAATTCAGTCATTTCTGCAAAATTTTATCTTCTTTCACAATATATCGATAAAACCATCGACAACAACTACATAACTATTTAAAATTTTATGAAAACTGGCAACCCTACAAATGACATTTTACGCCATCTTTAAAAAAGACAGGCTAAACGTTAACGCAAAGCGGTCAAAGACTTTTTAGACTGCCAAACTGCCAAAGAAGTACATGGCGCTATGTCATTATTGCCACTGGATCTTCTTATCGTATCGATGGCGTAAAATATAATGTTTGCTCTCGTCGTGAAAAGCTTTGCCTACCGCGCGAGGTAACCACGCGTATGACAATTGTTGCCCAGGATGCGCCTGACGTACGGAAAAATAATGGTACTTTGAGCGGAGAGAAGGAATCCTTTCGTGCACCCCAATTATACTGCCACTTATTTATACTATTGAAACTGCAAAATCTAATCATAAAAAAAATCCTTATAGATTTCTATTTGGCTTGATACATCGTTAATTACTGGATAAAAAATAAAATACGGTAACCTATCACAAACTCGAGTTTTTTTTTCCGAAATAAGGTTTGTTCGAATTTCCATTACACCGAAACCCGAATTATAACGAAACCGTTGTTCTTTCAGGATATGTTGGATGTCTATAGCAAAGACACGATTAGGTTCGGTTAGGTTAAGTTAAGTTAACTTCCGCTCTTTGGGGGTCGTGGGTAATGGGTAACCGGTATCATAACCCCCACTAAGCGGCTGGTTGGAACACCCCGGAGTTTTAGTGGGTAGACTTCCTTTCTGGAAAAGAGTCCCACATAATCCCGCGCCTCCCCGGGCGCGGTGGTATGCGTAACGCATTACTCCGGGTAAAAAAAAAGGTTAGGTTAAGTTAGTCGCGGTAGCATCTGAAAGGGACCCCGCGGCTCGGGCTCCAGGTGCGCGTAGGAACATCGTGAGGTTTTTAGTGGGTATGCTCTTGGGGATCAACATAGTCCCCAGGAGAGAGTCCCACATATCCCCGCCGTCTCCCAGCGGCAGGGAATGCGTAACGCATTTTCCTCACGGTAATAAAAAAAAAGGTTAGGTTAAGTTTAAAAGAAAAAAAATACTCCTCTCCAAATTACTTCCGAGATTACGAAATTTCTAGGAAACGTTATTTCGGGAAAATCTCATTTCGGAATACTGATAGGTAACCATTAAATACTATACAATAGGGCTGCATCCTTTTAAATAACTTAATTGTGTTAATAATTTGTTAAAATCTTCTCAAATTATTATGTAATAGTAAAACCACCAAGAAACCCTATTGTTCGCACTTTGCAGTGCTATATTAGCGCTAATCGCTTGCAGTGCAAGATCTCAGCTGCACGTGACACAGTCCCGGAAAAACGTCAGGTTAAATCATTTTTTTTTTCTACAGTTTGATCGTAATTACTGTAAGGTCTTGGTAATTGATTAGTTAGATTGGTATTTTCCATCAATTCATCAAAGAAGTGAGTTCGTAATTGTAAAAACATTGAGTAACTACAATTATTTATAAATAAACATAGAACGTGCTTACAAATTGTACTTTAGTGTTTCTAAGTAAATAGTGTAATTAGATATATTTTATTTCTGGTCACAAACTGTTTATAAAAGTGTTTGAGTGATTGAGGGCTTTGCTTTATTCGTCATGATCACTCAATATGTCTAAGAATAATAAGAATAGACAGGGCACATACTTCGTAGGAGAAAAAAAAACATTGACTTTGTAATTTCTTTTATTAATTATTCATACCTAGGTCAATTTTGATGGAGTGAGTCTTGCATATGCTGAAAACACAAAGAACCTAGGTCTGATAATCGACCGTACAGTGTCCTGGAGACCACAGGTAAATGAGGTTAGTCGACGCATGCACTTTTCCTATCATTCTCTCAAGCGGCTTCAATTCTTCTTACCTTTCAACACCAAGGTTATGCTTGCTCAGTCCCTACTACTCCCTCTTCTCGACTATGCCGATGTTTGTTATTTGGTTGTTACTGAGGAGCTGCTTAACAAACTAGAGCGCCTACAAAATCTGGCCATCCGTTTCATATTCGGTTTACGTAAATATGACCATGTCTCTGAATTTCGGACTAAATTGAAATGGCTCCCAATCAGACTTCGCCGAGATATGCACGTTCTTTGTCTTCTTTATAAAATTAAATTACCCCCAGCTTCCTCATTATCTGTGTTCCCGTTTTTCCCCCTTATCCCCCAATTCCCGCCCAAATCGTACCTGTGACACTAGAACTCTTATATCCCCAATCCAACTCCAAATTCTTTCACAATTCTTTTACCGTAAGTGCAGCTCGTATGTAGAATAAACTACCTGCTAATATTCGTGACAGTCCATCTGTGGCATCTTTCAAACACAAATTAAAAGAGCACTTCTTGTCGAACGTGTTAGATAGTTTATAGGTAACATATTTGTAAACAAATAATCTGTTATTATAACATATATTCTGCTTATGTATGTATTTATGTATGTAAAGTTCATGTATGTGTGTATGTCTGTCGTATGTATATTATTATCATTTATATTTTATTCACATTAAAATTTTAATTTTGTTGTACAATAATTAGTCCCGCAGACTTCATTTTTGCACCACGGCTAAGGTTGGCTGGAAGAGATCTCTTATAGATAAGCTCACCTTTGTATATGTCCATTGTAACGTGTGTTTCATGTTTCTTTTCTTTGTACAATAAAGAATATATATATATATATATATATAATTTTAATGGAGACAAGGAAAAATGCTTATCAATATGGTAACAATAGTTAGTTTGGCGTACTTGATTTGGTGTCACTTGTTTATCACCAAAGTGCCAAATGTCAATTGCTTCATTTTAGTGTTTCAATTTCTCCAATTTACAATTTCTACCAATTTTGCAAAAAGCATTGGCCTCGGAAGGTCAATGAATCGAAGTTAAAAAACGCTCTTTTTTTAAACCTCGACGATAAATAGAGGTGGCTTACTTTACATCATTGTCTAGATGGATATATTTACTGCCTCCGTGGCCGAGCGGTTACCATGTCGGACTACCACGCAGAGGTCTCAGGTTTGATTCCTGGGCCGGGAGAAATAATTGTGTGGTCTACGTTTATTTATCTTGTGAGTTTGAATTTTTGATGGGTGTTCTTGTTTTTTTTTATGTTACCAAGTGACAGGACGAACAAGTCGTGCGCCTTGCGTTAAGCGACACGTCTTTCCATAAAAGTTTCACTTTTTTGTTACTGGAGTTTTTCAGCTTATTCTTGATGTAAAGTCCTCGAATCCAATAGCGGATTCCAATTAGAAAAAATCCCGGTGCCGAAATTATGTCATAGTTGTTGTTGATGTCATTATTTGGATGACAAAAATAGACAGTAGTGCCACGTTTAGTTGGTTGTCTCGACCTGCGATAATTGAAATACTAAATATTGCAAATGATAAATGTATACAATGTTTATTTATAAAGAGCAACTCCTAGAGTTTTTTTACTCATCCTCCTCAAGCAATTTACCTTACGGATGAGTTCTTTTATGATACCAAGTGACAGGACGAACAAGTCGTGTATCTGGTGGTAAGCGACACGCCTGTCCATAACAGTTGCATTGCCACTCAGAGCTTTAAATCACAAAGATCTGAAGGGCACTGCCACTTCGCCAGTCACCTTGAGACATAAGTTAACAAACCCCATGTGCCTGTAATTTCACCGGTACTCTTACCGTTCAAAACCGAAAGGCAGTAATGCTTATATTGCTACTTGGCGGCAGAAATAGATAAGGAAGCTTCCCCGGACGAACTCTTTAACAAGGAGCTCTACTCTACTAATATTAGAGTTATGATCAATGTGACTATTTCAAGCGTAATTAGCTTGTCAATGAAATAAAATTAAAGTATAAATTGCTGAAAAACGTGAAAATGAAAACAGAATTATCGTTGACGAAATTGAAAAATGACGTACTTGAAATTATGTTAGTCTTCTGTCTAGTCTGTCATACTTCATAAGCCAATGCAATTGTTGAAAAAAGTCTTCTAATGCCTTTCGAATGATGATGATGTCGATGACACAAACAATTGCAAAACTAATGTGTTCTTCATTGCAGACTTGGCAACGAGACACACAAGTCGAAACGAGTATCCAAATCGAAAGCAAATTGGCGTGAACGATTCAACCTTTACCTATACGATGACAGCAATTTGGAAGTCACAGTGTGGCATAAAGGAAAACATAAGAACTTTATGGGAAGGTAAGATTTCAACAAAATCCTAATTATTAATCACATAATGTCGACGTTTCTTACTTACATTTGATTCCCTTACTGCTTACGATCGGCGTGAGAGATTTAAATATACTATAATAGTAACTACTAACATCAGATGAATACGTAATATTTGTAACGACGTTTTACTGCCATGATATTCAAATATTTTCTGTGAAATCTCCACGAATTTGTTAAAAGTATTAATACATAGTACGAACACAAAGAAGAATTCATTCGGTCCAGCTGAACTCGAGCGACTTGGTTGACGCTCCCCCAACTGAGCTACGGAACTAACCAGCAGACATTACGAATTCTTCTATGTGCTTCTTGTAGATCTCTGTTTTAAAAAGTATTCAATATAGATATTCAATAAACTTAATATTACAAATATTAAAGCGACATCTCTTGTCTGGGGTACCCTATCACAAAGTCGAAAATGTTTTTGTCCGAATTTTCATTATACCGAAAACCGAATTATAACGAAACAGTTGTTCTTTCAGGATATGTTGAATGTTTATTGCAAAAACACGACTAGGTTCGGTTAGATTAGGTTAAGTTAAATTTAAAAGAAAAACCATTTTCCTCTCAAAATTACTTTCGAGGTTATGAAATTTCGACCAAACGTTATTTCTGGAAAATGTCATTTCGGACTATTGATAGGTGACCCACATCTGGCCCTGGTAGCTGTAAAGGTACTGGCTGAGTGAAGAAAAACTTTCATAGATTTCTCGCAGATGGTACAACGGCAAACAGTAGTTAAAAACTAAAAACAACTGGTACATTTTTCTAAATTCTCATTCCAGTTTTTGTCACAAAATAATAGTGATTTGTAGGTACAGCCAAGAGCTAAAAACGTTTTTATACGTGGGGCACACTATAATAATATAACATAATAACTATAATATAATGATAAGAAAACAATACTATAAATGGTCAGAAATGAATTTATTGTTTCTCAGAATATTCTCCGTTAGCGTTAATGCACTGTTTCATACTACTGAACCAATTTTACAAACATTTATGCCACTTCTCTGTGACAATTTCTGAAACATATTTTTCATACTCTTCGACAGCCTCTTCAAGTGATGAAAATCGTTTACCGCGTAACTGGTTCTTAATTTTTGCAAATAAATATAAGTCACATGGTGCCAGGTCGGGACTGTACGCGGGATGGCTCATAAGGTCAACGTTGTTCACCTGAAAATCAAAAATTCCTTTGTCTGTCGGGCCGTGTGAGAACTGGCATTATCGTGGTGCAAAATGATATGGCGTTTAGGGTTATTTTTACGGAGTTTGTCAATAACTTCCGGCAAACAAATGGTCGTGTAGCAATCACTATTCACGGTACAACGATTCTAAAAAGCAACAGTGGTCACCAGTAGTAGTTTTATTTATAAAATAAGTAATCATCCGCTTAGAGGCACTTTGCACGCGCGCCACTTTGGTTGGTTTCGGCTTATCTCGAAAGACCCATACGCTGGATTGCTGCTTTGTATTGGGATCGTAACTATAAATCCATGTTTCGTCACTTGTTACTATGTCCCACACCAAATTTGGTGCCCCTTCGTTGAATCTGGTAAGCATGGCATTGTACGAAGTGACGCGATCCGTTTTTTGAGCGTCAGTCAAATTGTGTGGGATCCACCGAGAGCACAGCTTTTTCACACCCAAATGTTTGTGTAGTGTGATTGTATTTGACTCATGCCTATGCCTAAAGATGCCAGAACTCATAGTATGTCACATGCCTGTCTGTTTTGATCATACGGCGCACAGAATCGATGTTTTTGTTGTTCACAGCAGTGGACGGGCGATCATAACGAAATTCGTCACTGAGATTGACACGGCCGCGTTTGAATTTTGCAAACTAGCTATAAATAATCGTCTTGCATGGTGCTTCATCACCAAAAGCAGTTTGAAGCCGAGCGAAGCTCCGCTGAGATGTTAAATTACACTTAAAGTCGTAGAAAATCATACTACGAAAATTTTCACGAGTTAAATCCATGGTGATGTAGACAACCAATTTCTAAAATGACGCCTCATTGTAAAAACAAGTGACAGCCAGATGAAACAAACTGTATTCTACAGCCAAAGAGTTCCATTTTCAAAAATTGTAATTACTTTTTAAATATTGTTTATGTAAGTGGCCAGTTCCGGAAACTTATAGTGCGCCTTATGTACTAAGCAACATAGGTTGAAGTCAAAGTCAAAGTCAAACATTATTTATTCCATAGGTAAAATAAATTTACACTTGAAAACGTCACATTTAAGCTACTGCTTGTTCACTACGCTGACCTCCCTGAGAAGAACTTAAAGAAGTGTCAAGCTTGAATAAATGAATGTGTTCTTGACCCTGTTCGGGAGAATAAATATACAATGTACTTAGTACACCTATCAACAATAGTTCTGGACTGAAGTATTTTGAAACTAAACAAGATATAATTTATTTGATCACAAAATTGTATAGCATGAAAAATTATTCTTATCTTGATTCTATTTCCGTTTCCATAATCTCCGATGTAAATGGACCTTGAACAGAATCGGAAACTTATGCCAATGAATATTCAAATTTTCCGATCGATTAAAGTTTAAATTTAGATTGTTTTTGTTTACATGTTACAATAATCTTCCCAACACAAAACATAAATTTACTTTTTTTTTTTTTTTTTAGTTTATTCATAACAAAAAGAAAAATATTAACATTATTCTTTTCACTAGGTAAGAAACCTTATGGTTTAACGGCCTAGTGAAGAGTTGATTAATTAATTAATTATTTATTTATTTAATATTTCTTTATAACATTTTTTAATTTTAAAGTTCACATTACTATACCCAAAACTTGTTTTTACCTAAATAAAATATTATGGACTTTAACCTGATAAGCGTAGCGTAGTTAATCTAAAATATTTGCCTTAACACCCTTTTGCACAAAATTAAGTAACCGTGTTAAAACTTTATTTTAAGGGCATTGATTTCTATAGTTAAGTAACAGAAATGTCGAATAGTTCCAAAATTTTTCTCGTTTGGTAACTTGAAATAAAAAAAATAAAAAAATTTGTTATTGGTAATTACGTTTTTTTTTAAACTATACATAAATACAAAATTTCCAAATGTTTGGTGTCTACATTATCAGTATCACGTATACACAATAGACTGAAATAAACAAGAGGTCTTACCTGTGACGCCATGTGGCTTAGATAGTATTGAGTACAAGTGTGTTGACGTTGTATCAAATAGCCCTTCTACTAGCGCAGCTCTAATTTTATATAATTTTTAAAAATACGGCTCCAAAAAAGAAAATTACGGCATAATAGGTATACTTACTTTAACGATGTCTATCTACGAGTACTATTGACTTATGTCAACCAAATGGAACAAGAAAAAGTATAAAGTAACTTAATAATCTCAGTACAGAGTACTGAAAAAACCGACCTCAAAAGTACGTGGAATTACGTCTATTTGCCAAGTTATAATGAAATATCCCCTAGTTCGCCACTATACAGGACTTGACACTGGAGATAATAAAAATAGGTTCTCACTACGACACTACTCAAAGTACATTGAGAGAAAAACGCCTTGAATTGGAGAAATAGCAAAATCAACCATTAAAGTAATTGCTCCTAAATTAAAGTTAGGCGCTATTTATAAAAATGAATCTTCATGCCTAAACAGTTCACAAATCGGTTCACAAACATCGGAGTTACCGTGTAACATACATACAAAAAAAAAGAAAAAGAAGAACATACAGTCGAATTGAGAACCTCCTCCTTTTTTGAAGTCGGTTAAAAACGGGGGCCCCTTTTTGCCATATCGTTACCTTATAAAGAGTGATTATTCAGGAGATGGCAAAAGTTTCTATTTATTTTAAATTTTTTATCAAGGGTGTTAATTTGGATGCATTACTTTAAGAATAAATAAAAGCCAGTATGTGAATATGAAGGAAATGTGATGTGAAATCAGCCGACAAAATTTGTATATATAATTCATTTTTTGCATTTCAGTAACTTTGTGCTTTAAGATACGAGTTTGAGAAAGTAAGGCGACGATATGTAACTATTCCTCATTTTATAGATGCATCGTCGACCTTTCTCAACTTGAAAAAGAGAAGACACATGAGTTATGGCAAGAGTTGGAGTGTGGCTATGGCTCTATACACCTCTTGGTCACACTCAGCGCCACGGGAAACAGTTACGTTGTAGACAGCGTTCCTACTACTAACGGTGTTCATCAAGCAATTCTTCCGAAAGAAGATTTTGTAAGTACAAAACCGTTTGTTTAGCATATCTCTTTATTAATTAAATTTTCATTGAATTGATATTCAAATCTTTTTTGTGAAATTACTCCACTAGTTTGTTATAATTATTAATACACTACATAATACATTAATACTAAAAAGTCGTTGAAAAACCAAATACAAAAACACGACGCAAGCACATAGAAAAATTCGTTAGGTCCGTTGGTTCGTTCCGTGGCTTAGTTGGTATAGCGTCTGGCACGGTATGCAAGAAGACGTCTCGGTTCGAATCCGACCGGATCGAAGGAATTTTTTCTGAGTGTTCCATCTATTTAATAATTATAACAAACTAGTGCAATAATTTCACAAAAAAGAATTGAATATCAATTCAATAAAAATTTAATTAATACAGTGAATAGCGACATCTCTCGCCAGGACTGGTGGTAGCTGTAAAGGTACTAACTGGGTGATAAATAAATAGATAGATTTCTCATAGATGGCGCTACGACTAAAAAGTCGTTGAAAAACCAAATACAAAGACACGACGCAAGCACAAAGAAAAATTCGTGAGGTCCGTTGGTTCGTTCCGTAGCTTAGTTGGTATAGCGTCTGTCACGGTATGTAAGAAGACGTCGGTTCGAATCCGACCGTATCGAAGGAATTTTTTCTGAAATCTCTTTATTATTGATTGTCATGAAGATTGACTTACAATTATATGGACGTCGGGTCCGCGCTAAAAAGTGTCCGCACTTGTAAGGCGCTAAAATCGTATACAGAGCGCCAAACTCCGCTTTAGTCTTCATTTGTTCGACTGACAGCGCGATACTGCGATGACATTACAATTTAAATTTCGAATAGGTTGACTTGGGACATTTTTTTCGTGGTTTTTGTATTAGACCCGTCGTCCATTTATTTGTAAGTGAATGGTCATGAATCTTATAATAATAATAGTAACGAACACACTCATAGCCCAACACTAATAAAACCCTGTGTCGCGGGTGCCACGGACACACATAGACAACCACAAATTACACCCAACCTCACAAGAGAAATAAATATAGGCCATGCAAATATTTCTCCCGACCAATGAATCAAACGCGGACCTCTGCGTGGCCAGCATGGTAACCGTTCGGCCACGGAAGCAGTTATATGTTTCTTTAAGTGCGATCTTTGTTTTAATAATTACAACAAAATTCTTTATTTCAAATATTAAGCACTTAAAACTGTCAAAATAATTAAACCACGATTAAACACCTCTCAAGAAACTCTAAAGTTTGCTGTTTTTGAATATTTTTTTGTTACCATTTCTTATTTACAATGATTATGTGAAGATAACACATCACAATGTACTTCTCGATTCTGTAATTTAAATTTAATATAAAATACTAGTAGAACGAAAAAACACTTGAAGCGTTAGTAAATTATAAATATTCAGGGTATAATATATATACTCAAGTGCATTGAAGGTGATAAGGTCTTACAGAAGGAGTACAGTACAGAAATCATACTTATTTATTGTCACTATACCTAATATTATACACTGCGAACTTTTTATTTTTACTTTTACAATTCAAAAACATTGTTATCATGGAAGCTAATGTTTTCCCAGTTTTACAAAGTAAAACTTTCAGCAAAGACTGACGTTTAGTCTTAGACTATGGAATTTCCATCCTCTAAACCTTTAGTAGACCATTACCAAAATTACATAATTTATACATAAAAATTCAGACACTGTTGTACAAAACCTGTTTAATTATAATGTATCCCATGTAATATATTGTATTATTATGTACAATATATTATTATTATTATTACTATAATTTTTGATCAATCAAATACTGTTTAAAGCTTAGGGTATTTAATATTGAAAGTGCAATTGTGCAGTGCGGACTATGTGTCCACAAGTGTATTATAAATACGCCGCGAAGTGTCAACGTATTAGGCTGCCAACAGATGGACTGCACGTCTGCAGTTAATGCGTGCAGTCTACTGACGAGACGTCGACTGCACAGTCGGAGATAGAAAAATCATAAAAAATTAAAATCATAATTAGCAGTTGACATTCTTAACAATAATATGTCTTCTTTTGTGTATGAAAGACTTGATCTTGTAGTAACGGCTAAAGGTAACGATTACTTGAGGGTTCAATCAACTTAATGGTAAAACAAAAACACGGTTGGTGAAACTTTCCTTTATATCATTTGCACAATTCTTAAAATATTTTTTTGAACTGACATCTTTCTGTACGTTTCTGCAAATTTCACCGCAGATTATAGTCGGGTACTATTAAGGATGTGAATTTGTTATCAAATTAAAAATGATTATAATAATAAAATGTTTATTTCTTTAATAAGAAGTAAAATTAGCTCATTGGATCATAAATGTTCTGAATATAGTGATAAACTACAAGTAACATCATTTCGACATCAACAAATACACTGAGCCCTAAAATAGGCGCGCGGCGATAACTACATGAAGTCTGTGTCGTCTGCATTCAGTGGATTTCGACGGCATGCAGTTGTACATATTGGTTCGTCTATTAGCAGCCTTATGATTACGAGTATAATAACGTAAGCATCGCAAACATCGCAAACTTGAACATAGATCACCAACGTGGACGTTAATAAACAAATAGAGTATGAACAAGTTAAAAAACACCAAGAACATACCTTTGCCCCTAAAATCGACCATGAACCATGATTCGTATCTTGTATTCGACTTTGTCTATTTTTTTAGAGATTTATGGTTGGTCATCTAGCGTGCTGACGTTATTCTATGTAAATATATAAAACAACAACAACATATATCAACTCATTTATACATCCCACTGTTGGGCACGAGTCTCTTCTCAGGCGAGGATTTAGGCTATAGTCAGTCACGCTGGCCCAATGCAGATTGGGGATTTCACACGTTGCTTGAGGGTTGTGAACCTTGTTCGAGGTGCAGCTTTTTATCATGACGTTTTCCTTCTCCGAAAAGCTCGTGGTACATTTCAAATTGAATTCCTCGCTTAGAATCCATTTCCTCTGCTTAAGAAGCGGCTGTATAAATATATCGCACCCATCCTGGAAGGATGGCATAAATAAAGTTACGTCAAAAATATTTCTTGCTCCTTTGGATACAGAAAAATATAACCCACATCCTCTCCAATTCTTGTTACAAGAATTGGAGAGTATGTGGGCTATATTTATATATATATATATAATCAATAATTAAATATTAGAAAATTATTCGTACGTAGCCATGGCTAAAGTACACTAGCAGGCAAATTTTCCCATTACAAATTGAACCTTGCGTTATTTATATTAGTATTCCTTAAAGAAAAGATTGCGGAAAGAAGCTTCAATGTCAGTTTTGTTGCTATCAAGCTGGTTTCTAGCTTATCTCTATTTTATTTTTATTTCAAATACTTCGTACTTTCAATATCTGAATAATCTGAAGTAGTAAAGAGAAGGGAGCAAATTTTAGCGCGCTGCGACATTTTGTGGTTTTTTTATTTCAGTATCCAAATAATACATTTGTTTAAACTAAAATTTAGGTCAACATTTTCTCATACCAGTCTTGTTTACATACGACTTCACATAGGATATCCCACTTTTTATTGCATCCTTATTGCATATCGAGCGTTGTCGGTAGTCTTAAGGGTTGAAACACAAAATTGCGATGCGACGTCGCATCGTAGAAATCTACGAGCTCGCACGACGCATCGCAAGAATTCGCAAATTGCTCTGCATCGCATCTTCTTTGTGTTTTTTTTCCTATATTTTATTATCAATAACAGCAGTGCAACACTCCTTTTGGGATACCTGTCGCTGCTTAGTTTAAAAAATATGTTCAGTACGGTTGACGATCATCGAAGGAATGTTCACCAGAACCGTGGTATTGAGTCGCTTTGCTGCACGAAATCGCATCGCAGTAATTCGCGTCGCAGTTTTCTGCGTTGCGAATTCACATTGCGCCAATTCGCAGTTTTGTGTTTCGACCCTTAGTGTAATAATCAGACTTTGAGAACTACAATTTGTTTTTGGTCGAAATTCGTCGCGTTTTACGATGTTTACGATACTTTTATAGTGGATGAGGATAGATCAATTTTAGTGAATTAAAATACATAAACTATATGATACTTTTGTTCCCACTGTATTAATGATACCCACTACAAAATTAAATTTATCTAAGTGCACTTAGATTCTGGAACACCTTTAAAACTCTTTCATTTAGGATAGATGGCGAACAGGAAAGTTATATAGTACTATAACACCACAACCTAACAAACATTTCAACACAAAATAATTTAGTACTCTCGCGTCGTCGCTAAATGGCGTTGAGATCGAAATAGAACGCAGTATCGTTTTGTTACACGGAAAATGTGATATACATCACACATTGGAGTTTTGTATTCATATCGAATCCGCTTTAAAATTACTTATGTAACGAACTCCGCATCAATTATAAACCGAGGCGTCAGACTATAGTGAAACCCAACGATTGTTGTTTTCATTAGCAGTTGAATATGGTTGGTATATCGATCAATGGGATGTCACTACTGCATTTTTATATGGTAGGATAAAGGAAGACATTTACATGCTCCAACCGAAAGGAGCAGTAGTCAAAGGTCAGGAAACCAAAGTCTGTAAACTTCAGCGATCTTTATATGGATTAAAACAAGCCTCGAATACTTAGTTTAATGAGTTAGATAAAGAGATGTTAGCTTTAGGATTTTTACAATCGAAAATAGAACCTTGTTTGTACCAGAAACAGTTTAATAATAATAATAAGCTAATTGTAGTATGTAGCTAATTTATGTTGACGACATTTTCATTTTTGGAAATTGTGAACTGGCAAAACAAAAATTAAAGACTAGTTTACTTGATAAGTTCAAAGTGAAAGACCTAGGCGCGGCTAGACATGTCTTGGGAATGAGATTGAGGAGGGGATAAAGATATAATTTATCTAGATCAGGAGCAGTTCATTCTAAATATTTTAAATGACTTTAACATGACAGATGCTAAGCCGGTTAGAAC